CCTTGAGTCTGCAGGCGGACGCTCTATCCACTGAGCCAAACCGGTTAGGGCCATTGATGTTTCTAATCTCTCTCTCCCTCTCCCTTCCTCTCTGAAATCAATAAAAATATATATTTTTTAAAAACCATTTCTGTCTTTTACCAATTCATCTGACATACAGACCAAGAGATAGATACACATACACACACACACAGACACACACACAAAACAGAAGCTCCCACATGCACCTGCTCTCACATACTAGGTTCATTCTCTCACACACACTAGCTTCCATATGATCTGCTCACACAAGCACTCATTCTCTCTCACGCACATAGACATGCTCACACACACTTAAATTCAAGGCTAGGGTAGAAACTGGAAAGGAAACTGAAGCAACTAAAAGGTGCAGCCAAAAGAAACAAAAGGTGCAGCCAAATGTCCCTAGAGACTTCCAACTCCTACCAGCAGAGGTACAGGAATGAAAAGCAGGAGACCTGAGTATCAACACTTCCCTCAGCAGCCTACTTTGCAAGTAAGGACAATGCCTACAAGGTTACTGAAGGGCATTCATTCTGTGCTTCAATGTGTAGGGTTCTCTGGAAAGGATCAGTGACTATCAAAATGTAAATGCTTAAGTTAGGGTAATAATACAATGTGAAGATAATCTTTACAATTAATTCCTTTGAAAAATAAAACCAAAATAAATCAATCATTTCCACAATGCTCTTAGAATTTATTCTATAATTTCTGCTTTACAATGAGTTAGTGGTGACTATAAAAGCATCAGTCCTCTCAGTATGAAGGGATTGTGTTGATGAGAAGTGATCAAGCTTGTTAAAAAAAAACAAAACCCTATTCCAGCCCTAGCCGGTTTGGCTCAGTGAATAGAGCATCGGCCTACAGACTGAAGGGTCCCGGGGTCGATTCCACTCAAGGGCATATGCCCTAGTTGTGGGCTTGATCTCCAGTGTGGGGCGTGCAGGAGGCAGCTGATCGATGATTCCCTCTCATCGTTGATGTTTCTCTCTCTCCCTCTCCCTTCCTCTCTGAAACCAATAAAAACATATTTTTAAGAAAACCTATTCCAAGTTCACAACTAGTGCCTGGGTGCACTGAGTCCTGTTTCACCGAGAAAGCTCTACTGTAGTCTTCTTTCTCCTTTCCTCTGCTGATTCCTGCTAACACTGTTATATTACACCACACCTGATCTATCACCAGATGAGGTAATGAGATCCCAACACACCATGACATTGCTGAAGAGGGACACAAAAGCCATCTGTATTATAAATGGGAGCTAGCTGCTTATATTAAAATTTCAGCTACAGCACTTAAATAATTTAAAATGTTTTTTCATAAACAGATTACATGAAAGATACTGAACATGCTACCTTTGAAAATTTTGAAATAATCAAGATAATCTATTTGTTATCATCGAGGACAGTAATGTGACCAGCCTAAGAGTTTCGTGCACTCAATATTTTGAAATCTCAAGGTGGAAAGTACAAAAATTTATGGTTTTATTGCTGTTATCCAGTTTATCTAAATAGTTTCTAGGGTTTTAAAAAAAATCATGAAATGTTTTAAAATGAATTCTTATCTTTTAGAGATATATACTGAAATATTTATGGATGAAATAATATGTCACATATGTGCATCAAAAATAATAATCCAGGGGTGCCCAGCCAATTGAGCGTTGGCCTATGAACCAGGAGGTCACAGTTTGATTCCTGGCCGGGGCACATGACCAGGTTGCAGGCTCGATCCTCAGTGTGGGGCATGCAGGAGGTGGCCGATTGATAACTCTCTCTCATCACTGATGTTTCTATCTCTCTCTCCCTCTCCCTTCCTCTCTCTGAAATCAATAAAGACATATTAAAATATTTTTTTAAATAATAATTCAGGGGTGGAGAGTTTACAGATGAACCAAGACTGGTGAAACTGAGCAATGGATAAGGAGCAGGGAGATTGGGGGGGGGGGGGGTCATTAGACTAGCCTTCTTCTCTCTCTACTTTTGTATATGTTCAAGACTTTTCACTTAAAAGTTTAAAAATATTCATCATGAGGTAGAATTCTTCTCTTTTCTCTAAACTCCGTCACTATCAGAGACTATTTCTTCTTTTTGCTCCTCTATAATGTACTCTGATAATGGACTTGGGAAAAGCAAGCCTAAATCATAATAAAGGATAGCAAAACCTATACACACACAAAAGTCAACCTTTCATTACGCTGTGAATTACCTGCTCCAAAACAGGAGCTCTCCTCCACCATCCCAGGGAGCTCATTCAAGTCCAGGTACTTAGATCAAGTCTAACACTGCTTCTTTCTGAGCAGTCTGGGAGAGCAGACAGAAGGGGTGATGCCACAGGCCTCCTTATACTCGTCTATCCCCACTAAACCCAAGCCTTACCACCAAATTTAAAATTCCACCAGGACCTATCAGAGCAAAGAATTCTGATTCATTTCTACTTTGAAATTACAAGAAAGTTCAGCCCCCAAATAACAACTCAAAGTTTTCCCCACTGTGTTCAATAAGGACAGTCACAACACAACAAAAGGTGTTTCTCAAATGAAAAGGGTTTTATGGAAGTCAGTAAGATGAAACTTCATGGGAATATTTTGAGACACCAAATCTAAGAAGTTGCTTCTTTCTGAGCAGTCTGGGAGAGCAGACAGAAGGGGCGATGCCACAGGCATCCTTATACTCGTCTATCCCCACAGTGCTAGAGCCATCTAAAGATTATAGGTCAAAAGACCTAGTTCTAGTCCTTGCTCTAGCACTGACAATTTCATTTGTGGGGTGTTGGGAATTATTTAAACTTTCTGGGCTTCTGTTTCTTACCTGCAAAGTGAAATGAAGCCTATTACTACTTCAGAGAAAGGTGGTGATGATCTAGTGAAGACATAAATGAGCCTGATATAAGCTGTAAAGTACTTTATCAAAGTCAGGTTATGGTGAAAAGAAAAAGAAAAAGAACAAATGTGGTATTTTTTAAACATCTTTGGTGTAATGAGAAAGGGTGTGCTTGGAGAGAAGACACATCACACTAGCAAAACAGAACCAAGGATGCCCAAGGTGCTTTCTGACCCAGGGGCAAGAAGGAAAAGTATCAAAAGAACTTGGACCAGCAATCACAATCCCTGCTAACCATACAGTAAATTATACCATATATCTCTCTGCCCATTAGACTAGGACCGTGGTCGGCAAACTGCGGCTCGCGATCCACATGCGGCTCTTTGGCCCCTTGAGGGTGGCTCTTCCTAAGCCTTAGGAGTACCCTTATTAAGTTAATAACAATGTACCTACCTATATAGTTTAAGTTTAAAAAATTTGGCTCTCAAAAGAAATTTCAATCGTTGTACTGTTGATATTTGGCTCTGTTGACTAATGAGTTTGCCGACCACTGGACTAGGACATAGGAGACGCATCTGAGCAATGTCTTCCAACTAAGAGCTAAACAAAAGCAGTACACTGATGCCCACAGAAGCATGCACATCTTCCTGGGCTCAAGGGACAAATGGGAGGGAGCATGGACCTCTTATCAAGGTTCCTTTTTAAAAATTTCTTTATTTTTAAAATTTTATTTATGTATTGACTTTTAAAGAAAGAGACGAAGGGAGGGAGGGAGGGGAAACATTGACCTGCAGTTCCACTTACTCATGGATTCCTTGGTTGTGCCCTGACCAAATCAAACCCCACAACCTTGGCGTACGGGGTCCATGCTCCAACCAACGGAGCTACCCGGCCAGGGCCATAAAGGTTCTTAATGCTGTGTCTGACACCCTAAAATATTAGGATGTCAATTTTACCTCTTTTCTTAAAGATCTCTTGGCTTCACCATGCATATGCACTTGAACACCCACTTAACAAATGTCTGCATGTGTTGAGAAGTCAATAAGATTCAAAAACTAGAAGATCAGCATTTTAGGGATTTCTTACTACTACATGAAATATTTAAAAGTGCACACGGGTAACCTATTTGTTGTCTACCCAGTTATTACCAGAACACACACAGCCGTGCTATAGTCACCTGGAACTTCCATGAGTGCTGAGACAGAGGGGAAGGGCTGCTTTCCCAGAGCAGCTCAGCCCTTAGAGACTGGGTGGTTGGTACCTGTGCCACCCTGCACTGTGCATTCCCACTGCTGCCTGTCTACACACCTCACATCTCCTGCAAAAGTGGAGGTGGCCCTGATGGAGTGCTGCTCAAGTTTGTATTCACCAGCCCTGGAGGGATAGTTCAGTTGGTTAGAGCATCCTCCCAATACACCAAAGTTATGACTTCCATCCCAGGTCTGGGCACATACAAGCATCAACCAACCAATGAATGCATAAATAAGTGGGAAAACAATAAGTGGATGTTTTCCTCTCTCTCTCCTCTTCTCTAAAACCAATACATTAAAAAAAAAAAAAGTGTGCACTGTCTCCCAAACAATAAAAGATGAGTCTACCTAGAACATGATGCCAAAACGGTGTCTATTCGCATGATCGTAAGTAGCCAAGCGCAGCCTGGCCTTTGACATCTGAAGGAATGACTTACTTCAGCCAAGCCAGACCTGGGCCCTCGGTGGGAGGAACCGCCAGGCACCTCTTCATTCAGGGAGCACTTCCATCAGGCAGCTGGGCCTGTCCTCATGCCAGGACCTAACTCCCCTCGGTTGAGGAAAGACCCAGCTCGTGTGGCGCGGGAGAGGGGGCGGGGGTACGGTGGTGGGTAGAAGGGGGGCGCAGCGAAAGAATCTGACTCCCTGGAATAGAACCTCTTCAAAGGAGGAAAAGCAGCTTTAATAAAATTCAACCAAAAGTAAGGGCAGAAGCGAATAAAAAGAACGTGCGGGACCATTGGTCCCAACCCTGCATTTCCCGACCACCGAGGACCGTGTCGGCCCCGAGGAGGCGCCCAGGGCCAGGCTCCCACGCTGGGGCCCGGACGCGCTCGCCGAGTTACCTGCTCAGCCCCGTAGACCGTGGCGAACTGGACGAAGTCCTCCATGCGGACGAAGCCGTCCCCATCCCCGTCCAGAGCATCGAACACGGTTCGCAGGCGGGGGCCGTCCTCCGCACACCCCGCAGGCTCGCTCGTGAGGGAGCGGGTCCGGCTTAAGTCCGAGGGCAGGTGCGTGTCCACGGGACCCACCTCCAGCGTCAACTCGCCCACCGAGGCCGAGGGCAAAGAAGGGAAGAAGTCGACCTCGCCCCTCCGGTGGTGGCTGTCGCTCAAATCCTGCGCGCGGAGAGACGCGCTCTCCGGACAACTTTGGGAGCCATAGTCCTCTGACTCTTCAGTCCAGAAAAAAAGCGGGCCGAGTTCTGTCAGCTGCCGGTCGGGTTCGGGGTCGGGGCCGGGATCGGGGTCGGTGGGGGGCCT